CTCCTCCTCCTCCTCCTCCTCCTCCTCCAGGACCTCGAGAAGTGAGATACAATTAACATAAGATATATCTTCAACAAGCTATTAAACACCTCTCCTTAATTTGAAATTTATGATATAAAACCTATCTCTCTCTTTTTCAAATCTAAGTGTAGAGCGACTGCTGTCGTCAATGTTCTAATACTATATCAACGGAGTTCAATCCAGTGTCCCTCTTGCGACGGCCGTTGTTTATCCTTGACCTTGTATATGTTTGTATAGATGTACACGTGCGCTAATTAACCATTGCAATATGTGGGTGTATTGTTCCCCATCACCTCCCTTCTCCCATAGTGTCCATCAGGTACTCATTTTCTAGCCCCGCTGACCACAACACCTGTTGAGCATGGCAGGCCTATAATGCAATCAGCTAATAAGCTCACTGTGATCGACGAGCTGCACACTCATTGTGATCGACGAGCTACACACTCGCTGTGATCGACGAGCTGCACACTCACTGTGATCGACCAGCGACACACTCGTTGTGATCGACGAGCTACACTCTCGCTGTGATCGACGACCTGCACACTCACTGTTATCGACGAGCTGCACACCCGCTGTGATCGACGACCTGCACACTCACTGTTATCGACGAGTTGCACACTCACTGTGCTCGACGAGCTGCACAGTCGCTGTGATCGACGAGTTGCCCACTCACTGTGATCGCCGAGCTCCACACTCGTTGTGATCGACGAGCTACACACTCGCTGTGATCGACGAGCGGCACACTCGCTGTGATCGACGATCGGCACACTCACTGTGATCGACGAGCTGCACACTCACTGTGATCGACGAGCTGCACACTCACTGTGATCGACGAGCTGCACACTCACTGTGATCGACGAGCTGCACACTCACTGTGATCGACGAGCTGCACACTCACTGTGATCGACGAGCTGCACACTCACTGTGATCGACGAGCTGCACACTCACTGTGATCGACGAGCTGCACACTCACTGTGATCGACGAGCTGCACACTCACTGTGATCGACGAGCTGCACACTCGCTGTGATCGACGAGCTGCACACTCGCTGTGATCGACGAGCGGCACACTCGCTGTGATCGACGAGCGGCACACTCGCTGTGATCGACGATCGGCACACTCACTGTGATCGACGAGCTGCACACTCACTGTGATCGACGAGCTGCACACTCACTGTGATCGACGAGCTGCACACTCACTGTGATCGACGAGCTGCACACTCACTGTGATCGACGAGCTGCACACTCGCTGTGATCGACGAGCTGCACACTCGCTGTGATCGACGAGCTGCACACTCGCTGTGATCGACGAGCTGCACACTCGCTGTGATCGACGAGCTACACTCTCGCTGTGATCGACGAGGTGCACATTCGCTATGATTGACGAGCTACACACTCGCTGTGATCGACGAGTTGCACACTCGCTGTGATCGACGAGCTACACTCTCGCTGTGATCGACGAGCTACACTCTCGCTGTGATCGACGAGCTACACTCTCGCTGTGATCGACGAGGTGCCCATTCGCTATGATTGACGAGCTGCACACTCGCTGTGATCGACGAGTTGCACACTCACTGTGATCGACGAGCTGCACATTCGCTGTGATCGACGAGCTGCACACTCGCTGTGATCGACGAGCGGCACACTCACTGTGATCGACGAGCTGCACACTCGCTGTGATCGACGAGCTACACACTCGTTGTGATCGACGAGGTGCACATTCGCTGTGATTGACGAGCTGCACACTCGTTGTGATTGACGAGCTGCTCATTCGTTGTGCTCGCTTTTTTAAATGCTTTCAATGACCATGAAACCAATTTTAATGTTGTTTGCGAAAAACATGTTAAACTTTCTTGTATTTGTTTTACAAATATTAAATTCAAGTAACTTTGGAATGGCTTCGACACTTGACCCGGAACCTGATCCCTAGGCGGGTAACGTGTGTTTAAATAATCAGACAGGAGACGGATTCTGATTAATATGGAGGAGTACAACACTCCTCCAAAATAATCAGAACACGATGTAATCCGTCTTTTCGTATTGCAATGTGTTCTGCTCTTGTGAGCAGGTATTGATTGTTACGTCATTATTTTGTGTGAGAAAATTACGTCGTTTTCTCAAAAAAGTAACAATCAATACCTGCTCACAAGAGCAGATAACTCTGCAATACGAAAAGACGCAATAAGCTGTCTAAAACGGCAAATAAACAACCCGTTGGGAATTTATCATCGTTGTCATTCGGTGTTTTTTTAGTATGGATGGCTGAATATTATGGGTCTTTTGTCAAATTCATGGTTTACCGGTGGGATATTTTGAGTGGTTTTATGGTTTAATGGTGGTTCCCATTGTTCATAACAAGTCTGTTTGGGAAATTTCAACTATACAAGCAATTATCATCTAAACACTTCCCATAACGTTACAGACCTAATCGTTTTAATATAAACTTTATTTCAGTCATTTTTGAATTTAAAATATTATATAAGCAATATATAATTATTAAAAATGGCGAACCTATTACGTAAATAAGATTTACGTGAGATTTTGTATACGAGTGCAATATTCCAAGAGTATGACCTCCTGAAGTTTGGGGAGATTTGTTATATATCCAATCTAATGCCAATAAAATCCTGATTTTTAACTCATTAATTCTATTCCTATTCATCAGGCCATGTATAACACATTTCCATACATTTGACTTTTAAATAACACAAAATCTAAATAATTCTGCTTGCAACACCTTCGTATTTGATTGCACAAAATGTTAGCGAAAGGACAAAGGAATATTTTCACCGCCTTTACCCGCTTGTAAATATCAATAACTTTCCATGAAATAGTCTGTTGATGAGGTAATCAATTGCATTAAGTGGATCGATGTCATATTTGATCAAAATACAAAAAAAAGGATATGCGCCTTTCATGTAAATAGACTTTCGGCACCCCTCCTGATCGTGACATAGAAAGGAAATAAACTGCTCGCGAAGGATATGTGCGTCACAGTAACTCTTCTGTAAATAATCTTTCGATATCGCTGTTCGTGACATAGGAAGGAAATAAAACGCCCACAAATGATACGTGCTTCACAGTAACTCGTCTGTCTTACGCATATAAAAGTTTTAGACCTCACAAGAGGGTTGTCAACCCAGTAGTTGACGTTGTTTACCACCTTCCGGTCTCTTATCTACAATATGCTAATGACATGTTTTATATTTGCAGGGTTAAGGATGGTGCCCAACATTCCGAGTGTACTAACGTGACCCAGTATGTCGACCAGGGTAAGACTAATGCTTTATTTATGATTGTACAATTTCTGCTTTGCCTGCAAAGAACCATCAGAGAGTTTTCTTGAAATATGCAATTTCCAATACCGAAACACTCCCTGGTGAACATCTGTCGATTACAATACTGATTTGAAGACAAATATGGTGGATGATGTTTACCAGAGGGATCCAGAGGGATGTCTCGGTATAAGAAATTATGTAAAAGAAACTAGAAACTAATGGATTTAGAGAAAGACAATTATATGAACACAATTATTATGTAATGTACTGTTGCATATTTATAAATGCACATTTTCATTTTCGGATGCTATCGGTATGAAATATTTTAATGTTTTACATAAACATGATAACAATACTCAATAAAGTAGTACTTCAATATTAATGCTTTTTGTTCCTATACAAACTCATTTTCAACACGTTTGTGCAAAAACATTTTATATATATATACAAATACATGAACTACATTTATCCAATCATCAAACACTTGATATTGACAAAAACATCAGTCATTCGGGAATGAACGTCAAACAAATCATACAACACAGTCATGTATTCAAACCAACAAACATTATAAAATCGTAAACATTTTGTGAGGTTGATACAAATACTTTTCAACCTTAGATAATGCAAAGTTAAAATGGAATCATATTACAACTAGCCTGGGTTACCTAGACGTTTCTGGAGTACTGTTCAACGTGCAGTGTGTGGATCAAGAATTAACCGAGATGGCATTTATTTTATCTATGTATTATTGGGATAGAGGTGGTGATGGGGGTGTTTTGTTGTATGTGAAGGTGACGTCTCTAGTTTTACTACAGGTAATGAAAGGTATGGAAGGTTATAAACGGGGCATTTTCTTGAATAGTTTAACATTTTGTAATCTTACATAAGGCTAAGTCACAATAGAATATCATATTAAGTTACATGCTTTCTTTCCTTAGATAAGTCGAGTTGATCTATTTCGCTTGCCTCATCTCGTGAAGGAACGTTATTTTAAACGTTTGTGTATGTATAACCTCTAGGTTTTATGTTTTTATACATGTATCATCATTTCATGGAACAAGTTTATCAGAATGTCATGAAACCAATACATAGTAAAATAGTCGTGAAAGACATCAAGAATAATAAAACATGATATGTTATAATTATTTACCCTTTTTAAAATGTTGCATTCTGTTTCATATGGAATGACGATACACCGTAATATTGTACAGCCAATCATTGTCTTGAACTCGAGTGTACTTAACAGCTTCATGACATACAAAATATATTTTCATCTGACACTTTTCCTTAAAACATTTTTAGAAATTGAGTATTTTTGTAAATTTTATCTAAAGGATGACATTTTAAATCTCAGAAAATGAATATTTTGTTTTCAGATTAAGTAATTATGAAAATATCGCCGATTTTAATTTTACCATGATAGGGCGTTAAGATAATGATGCTTGCTACAACGGTCCAGTGAATTTTAATGCATTGTGCGGAATGATGTCGAGGTGTCGTGTGTAGGAACATACAGTTACCTTGTGTGTTTATCTATGTATTAACGTTTATCGTAGCTATGGAGGCATATTTTTACCGCCCTGTTATCCACGAGTTGTTTTTGTTGATTTACTTAAGGTGTTATGCTACGGTACAAATACTACCCATTATTTGTGTAAGAGGTATTTCCCTTACACAAGTTATAATTCCCTTAAATATTGGCTCAGAATTACTCGAATGTACAATATTGAATAAATAGGTCATCAATTAATTACTTATTACTTAAGGCCAAAATACCGTTAACATATATTTTACACGTTTCTTAGTATCACGAGCTCTTTTAAAAGGAAGGTATTTGTCCAGGTAAAACAGCTTATGTCCTTAATAGATATATGTAGAATTATATAAAATATGATGACGCACCAAAAACAGAGGACTCTTTATTTAATCAGAAGATTGCCCGTCAAAAAATATCTCGGCTAATATACCTATTCTGCCTTAGGACATATTAAGATTACTTGTAAGCAGTAATATTTAGTGAACATGTCTATGTTAGTCGAGTGTTTAATTAATTAAGTGGAAAGAGCAAATAGATTGTGAATCCCAAATTTAATAAAACGTCTTATTAAGAACAAAAAAGACACATTTGACAATTTCTGTCGACTGAAATGTTGACTGAACGTGAGTTACCATATCTTATCATTTTTATATGCGTCTGTATCTCTTCAATGTAAAAACGTTATATATATATATTGTGTGATACGGAAGTTGAATTATTCTATAAACTCAATGTAATGTTTACATGTAATTCAAGATTGTTTATTGCTTTGTCGTTTATTTCTCCCAACACATTATAAGTCATTTATAAAACACTGGTGACCTCTTAAATGTATGAAAGGAAAATATTAAAACGATCCTCTCTCCCTTACCAATATCATCTCTCGTAAATAAGCAATAACCATACATGATCAAATTTAACTATGCAAGAGAAATAAAAGTATACCGATAAAGATAATTACTAACCATGATCAGCATTATCAATATATGTTGTGTCAAAATATTAAACTTAAAATATGAAGATATAGTTTTATAAGTCAAATCAAGAAAAGCTATCAAAAAGAAAAAAACACGACGCTAAATTATACAACGAAGATTATTTACGATATTTTCAAGAATCATCGTTCAAAACTTATTCACCTGATGAGAGTATATATGAATGTGATTTTTGTGATAACAACATGATAAATGTATGAACTGACTACTATTCATTGTAGTAATACGATAAATAGTATCACAAACTCCCTAGTTTCTTAAAATTTATTCCGATATCTTTTATAATAAGGAACAAAAATATTAATATAAGAATTCAGTGCTTCACACTGTCTTCTTCCCAGACATTTTTAACTATCCTTCAAAAGCATAGAATATTGTCATCTGTATACCACATTTAATAACTGATATTGAATTAATGTAACTAACGTTGGTAGCATTAACGTTGCTCAAGCCGTCCAGTGCTATAAAACCCGCGTGATTAGTCTAGTCGAGCCGTTAGCCTTTCTGTCTACCCGACTAGCTTCAGGATACGACGTACCCTTTCTACTCAAAGGCTACTGAACAAATATTTACAAGTTTAACTTAGCCATCACAGATAATGGAAATATTTCCTATTTAAGTGATGTCAATACTGCTACACTCAAGAGACTGCAGTTTTGATTGATTTGCAACATCAGGCATTTATTTATTCTTAACGTCGAGCTCAGTATCAGTATCAAAATTCCCGAAATCCTTTGCAACATGATAAAAGGACGTTTAAAATACTTGTTATTTTTAATTCCATTGACAATTAAATCAAAATTTTAAACATTAGTAAAAGAACGAATGAATGTTTTGTATAATATCTTGTAGAAATACGATAATACCTGTGTAGAATTATGATTACATTTTGTTTTCACATTTGTAATTTATTGGAGAAATATGATTTTTTTGTGTGTATATTTCCTGTGAAGAATAATGAATAAGTTTGTGCCTATTATCTGTGAAGAACGCTCATGTTTTGTTGCAGTATTAATTATTGTGAAGTAGTTGTGTTGCAGTGACGATGAAAGGACTAGAAAATGGGCGCAATGAGAGTAAACAAATCTCTGAATGTGTTTAATATGTTTTGCATCTGATTACATATTCGCATACATAGGTTCAGCAAGATTATGAATGTCAAAAACAAGTCTGTTTTATTTGACCCTTTTGTCAATGTTCATTTATTATTCCGCCTATATTGTATGTTACTACATCATCGTTACTCGTTAACACTGTGTTGTGTGTTGGACAATGAGGGTAATTCTATTTATACACTATCAACACATTCTAGAGACAAAACATTTATCAAAAATAAATATGTATAAATTAATAAAATAAATGATTAAAACATTAAGATTTACGTTAACAAGGATTACAGAGAAATGGTCAGTTATCATTAAGTTATATATCCCAAATAACTAAATGCAGTTTAGATTCGGAAATATAAATTTAATTTTGAAATTTGTATTTGTTTTGATCGTAGTAGAACAGTTTATTTGCTTGAATACATAAAATATGTAATCTAATCAATATTGGTGGTTGCAAAATTTATACAGGTGGTAACTATAATTCTAGCAAGTCGGTGATGTAACAACACTTTTCATTGGTTAATAAACAACGCACCTTTAGACAAAAACAATGTGCGTGCATGCATTACTTTCCATCAAACCATGCACGTGCAAAGCTCTTCCGAAAGCTGCCGCGTTAGTGCACATGTTAAAAAGTGAGCCATGTGCTATTTGTCTTGGATTATTTAGCTTTGTTGATCGAGGGAATACGCGTGCATATGACGCATTTTTGACGCAACACAAGTTTGCGAACTCGAAAGGAAAACAGAATAGGCTAGGTCATGTTGTCATGACACTGAAGTATACACAAAATAACAATCATTTACATCTTCACTCACAGAACAGGTATATTCATCATTGATTTGTATATTGCTGCAGAATGGATAACTTGTAAATACAAAATAACTAACTCAGATCAAAACGACCTTCGTTAATTAATTTTGTATCTCTTTGTCAGACTCGTTATGTATTCCAGTAAAAAATATGTACAAATGTTGATAATTTCTTAAACCTTGCCGACCGTGTCATGCTTTTAAAGTTATGCTATGAAATAAATTATGTTGCTTACTTTCAATGGAACCTTATATTTACCTGAATCCCAGTAGACATTATAATCATCTCTGAACGTAACAGAAATATTCATTATGTATGACTTTGCAATGGGTCTTCTAATTCTCAATTTGCCCAAAGGACCCAGGAAACTAATGCACAGGAGCCATACATCTTGTGCTAAAAACGTGGGCATTAATTAACAGGTTGTCAGGCTTGCCAGTGTCAGTAACACAATATATTTATATACGTGCTATGGGTATGTAAATTATCGTCTCCTCATGGATAATTCCAGACCGAACCAATGTGACCGCACTAGCC